AATTTCTTAGAATAAAAAGCTATTATATGAAGTTTATCATATATTCCTATTTGTGATAATATAGCACCTAAAGCAAAGTCGGATGCATCTATTTCTATAAAAAAAATGCCTTAAAAAAGTCAATACGATACAAGATTAGTATAGAAACAAAGATTATTTTTAAAGCTTCAAATATTACTTTTGCTTCTTGATTCTTCTAAAGTTTGTCTTTACAACTCAAACATGTAAGTGGAGCTACAATTGAAGAGAAGTCCTTGATAAAGATCTAGTAGTAGTTTGCAAATCCTAAAAAATATTGGACATCTCGTACTATTTTCGGGATCTTCTAATCCATAATAGTTTGAATTTTCTTAAGATCCATTATAAGTCCATCATTTTAAATGATGTAATCTAAGAAATCAACTTGAGTAATGTGGAATGTATACTTTTCTATCTTGGCATAGAATCCTACATCTTTTAATTTTAATAATACATGACAAACATGAAGTTCATGTTCTTCTATATTCTTAGAATAGATTAAGATATTGTCTATATAACAGATAAAAAAATCATCCAAAAACTCTCAAAAAATATCATTCATAAGATTTTAAAAAGCTATTGGTATATTTGTAAATCCAAAAGGCATGACATTATATTCAAAATGTTTATACTTGATTCAAAATATAGTTTTCTATTCATTTCTTTCTTTGATGTATATGAGATTGTATGCTCCTTATAGAACTATTTTTGTATAGATCTTAGCTTGATTCAACTGATCAAGAAGTTCAAAGATTAAAGGTAGTGGTTACTTGTTCTTGATGGTGATCTTGTTGAGTCCTCAATAATCAATACACATCTGCAATGATCCATCTTTTTTCTTTACAAATAGAATTAGGTTTCTTCTTAGAGATTTGAAATGGCATATGAAGTTCTTATCTAGATTCTCTTCAATATATTCTTTGAATTCAACCAACTCATTTTGTAATAAATTGTAGATTGGTCCAAATAGTGGTTGTGCTCCTACTTGAAGATCAATTGAGTATTCATAGGGATGATATTTTAAAAGAATATCTACATTCTTTTTTTCAAATAAATTTTAAAATTCTTGATATTGGCTTGAAATGCCACTTGAAATCTTTGTACCATTAGAAATAGGCGTGGCATAAATAACACAAAGTAATCCTTTTTTTACATCATCCAAGAAAGCTCTTGCATCTATAAATATAGGTTTAATTATATTATACTTGTGGTTTTTTACTTAATTAACTATACCCTTCATTATAATTTTAAAAAAGTTGAAAGCTCAAAAAATCTAATCTACTCAAAGATTATATTTTTTTAACCATAATAAGCCTAAAATGATTGAATTAGAGGAAAATTTAATGAGATTAAATATCACAAAGCTATTATGATCATTGATTATTATTTCTATAGAAAAGATTTTGTGAGTAATATCTTCAAAAGATAATAGACGATTATCTATGACTTCTATATGAACAGGTTTAGTTTTTCTCATTAAAGATATGTTAAGTCTTTTAGTGAAATTTTTATCTAAGAAACACACTAAGGCTTCTAAATCTAACAAAGCAAAGACTTCTTAATATTTATGTTGTAAAATAATATTTAATATAAAACAAGGAGAGGGTTTTGAGGAAAAAATATGACCTTCATTAGGTATTGTACAAGGTTCCAATGGCACGGTCCCTATTGTAACTGAACAAACTCGTTTTTCAATATATTATCTTCTTTGACATTTGTATTCTTTATTTTATAATTGCATCACTTCTTTGGACAATGTTGAGCAATGTGCTTAGCTTTTCCACAATATAAGCACAATCTTTCCTAACAACGATAAATCTTTCTTACTAAGTAAGAAGTTTGAAACATACTGCATCAATTTATATATCTTCTATTTTCAAATATATATATATATATATATATATATATATATATATATATATATTGAGGAGGTATTAGTGTTACCATTGAATTATAGTAATGTTGAAGCTTACTTATTTGACTTTTAAATCAAAATTTAAAAAGTCAATTATCATACTTCACAACAAAATCAATTGCTTAACTCAGTATTTGTGGATCAGCTAAGTTGAGCATTAATTTCTTTACCTTATATTGTAATCTATAAAAAATAATGGCTAATAAGTATAGCATCATTATACTTGATATCAGTTATAAGTTATTAAAATTGTGAAGCATATAATGTTACAGATTGATTGTTTTGTTGCAAAATACGGATCTTGTTGGTTGCAATACAAATTACATCATATTTTCCATACATAGATCAAAACTCTACCAAAAAAGCCTCCAAATTATCTAATATTAGATCTTGTTGTTCAAGAAAAGATGAAAACCATGATAATGTGAAACTTCAAAGAAGTGTACAAATGAATTTAACTAGAGATCCTAAAGTTAGATAGCTTTGGAATTGATGCTCAATCATAAGTTATACTTAATTGATAATTCCTCGAAACTTGGATCTTGTGCCATTAAATTTCTTAGACATGGCAATTCTTAGTTCTCTAGTACTAGAAGGATGTTCTATCATAGAAAAAAAGATATGATTTGGTGCACATATTGAGGAACTCCAATCATATCTATATTTTTACTTCTTGCCATTCTTGTTGTTTTTTGTGGTTATAAAATGAGTTGATGCATCACAAGCATTAATTCCCTCAATTGCTCTTGCACTTGTGCCATTGCACTCTTCATTTCAACAAGCTCTGCCATGATAATAATTAAAAATATATATATCTAATTTTGCTCAAGTCTTGTAGAAGAGAGGATTAGACATCAAATAACATACTAAGAACAATATCAGTTTAAAAGAAGGTAATCTACAACTTCTAATATACTTATGTCTTATCAAGAGAAAGTGATAATCCACTCTTAATCAAGAAAAGACAAGGCTCTGATATTGTAAGTATATTCTTGTCAATCTATCAAGAACAAGAACTTGATGAAAGTAAATAAATAAGTATAAAAAAATGAAAATAAAAAAAATATGTATATTAAAAGGAAACTCGAATGACTATTGGCAAAAGATAAGGAAATTAGAGACTCTTGAATCTAGACTAAAAGCAAGAAATGAATTGATAAAAATGAAGAGGACTTTACTCGTGCCTTTATATATACTATCTATCTAACTAAGAGCTATGTGGCGATGTTCTATAGGACCTCTAATATGTGTTGACTTTGCAAGATACATGCCTTAACTTACAAGATAAGTTTTCTATGTATATGCCATATAGTTAGCTTATTCTTCAAGCTACTAACATGTGTGGCACATGGCTAACTTGTATATCATGTTTCTAATCTAAAAAGTCAACTATAGATATCTATAAAGTCAAAGTAGCATCTATGAAGCTTCTGTAGAAGATATTGTGGAATTTACCTATTTTTATCTACTTTTATCTAATCATATAAGTAATTATTGGTTTACATGTGTATGTCTGTGACATAAGTTTTGAATCTACCACTTCTATATATGAATCTTTATTCCATTAAAATACTAGGTTCTAATTTTATCCTTCTCTATTAAGATGCTTAAAAAGTAAAATGTAATGATACTAGAGAAATGTATTAAACAACAAGAAGATCAAAATAAAAAATGAAGAATGATTAAAATATAAAAAATCAAGAAGAATAGTTAGCATGTCTAAAAAAAATTATATAAAACTAATGCTGAAAATATAAACTCTCTATGTAAATAATAATCTTTGTTTGTAAATCAAGATATGTAAATAATAGTTTCTAAAGCTAAGAAAGGAATTCAAAACAAGCTAATAAGCTAACAGAAGTAAAGAAATCAAAACCACACATTATACACTCTTGTACAACTTCTAAGCTATGGGATCCTTCACCATTTGTTTTACAAGATACTACACCTCTTTTGAAAATACAACAAAATACTTTATTTTAAGAAGAACCTTATATTAAAAGGATTTAGATTTAAGGTTTTTGAGTGATACTTCACCCATGATAATATCTCAAAGTATCATGTGTTATTTCAAAATATCACTTAATACTTGAAAATCATCTACCTCACAAGGTAGTTGATTTTGAAATCCAAATATCAAAAGAGGAGCCAATGAAATATCACAAACTTCCTCACTTGCCTTAATTCTTTTCGCTTTGCTTTAATTGCCTTCACTTTTTGAAATCACCAAAATATCAAGTGGTACTTCAAAAACTTAAAAGGAGTAATAAAGTTTGAATAGTGATATTTGGAGAAGTGATTTTTGAAATGATATTTTGAATGATTTATGATATTTGAGTTTCCAAAACAAGTGATATTTGGTTATCCAAAAACATTAAGTCTGAATCCCCTTATTATATACTATTCAAACAATCTTTACTTATCACAATCATGATCACATGGAGAAGTTTTTCTTTCTTACTAGTTACTCACTAGTTACTAAAAAATGGTAGCTAATTATGACTTCCTAGTAGTGAAATTTTATTTGTAATTCATCCTCTATTGTCTGTACTATTGCATTCATAGGACACAAGATCAGGCTGGTTGCAAATTACTTAAACGTGGTCACTGCCAACGCCACGATGAATCGTTGTCGCGAACACAGGTATCCTGCGGACTTTAGTATCTCCTGATGTTCCGAATATACCTCTAGATGTCAATGTTTTACGTTGGGGGTTCGATCCCAGAAGACACTTCCCTGGTGGTGCAACGAGAAGCAGTTCAGAATCTCAGATCGCCCAATGCTCAAGGATTACGTGAACTGTTCGTGCTCAGCGGAATGGCAGTGTATGTAGAGAAGAATCTGCGCATGGAAATGTAGAATGAAACGGAAGGAAAGGGAAGTGGACGAGTTGTTGGGTTCACCCTCGACGAGAATTCCTCAGAGATTCCACCCCACGTTTGTCAAACAAGACACCCATCCTCTCAACGAAACCCTAGAAGTCCACTCCTAGCCTTCCATCCAAGAAAAGAAGCTTGTTTCTACACTGAAATAGCTATGACTTTGGTATGAGAAAGGGCAAACATATTTATAAGAAATTAAACAAACTGGCATAATTTTAATTGCTAGTTAATGAATACAACATTGTTTAAATTAAATGCACGTTGTGTGTAACTGACGTCTACTAAGCAAGCACTCAGCTAATGTTGACTATATTGGACAAGATCCTAATGACCAAAGAGGTATTTTCCGTAATGTAGCTCATACAGTATGTATATATATATATATATATATATATTATTAACGTTGAGCATGGGCTCAAGGAAGGCGCTTGAGCAAGCCAGTGTCTTTGAAAGCTTGTTTGGCCTGATCCCACTCTTCGCTGCTAGGGTTGTTGGCGGGATCTGCTTTCAAGGGGACGGCAATGTTTTGCCATACAGGACCACTGCTCGCTCCATCCACATCCTGCAGCAGAGAAGGGCATGTTCCATCAGGGAGAGAAAATCTTAGAAAAGATGAAATACTGAACTAAAGAGCCAGACATTCAGGTTGTCTGACCGTGAACAATTTGCGACCTCAAATGCGACTTAGTATGTATCTACCTCATAGTGGAACAATTGTAATTAAACGTGGGAGATAGTCTGGCAAAAATTGCACATCCTGAGTCTGATTACCGTCGACGTAGACCGAAAAATAGGTTTGCATCAGTAATGCTCTATGAATCAAACAGCACAACTCTAACAGAACCTCACACCCTTCGATCAAGGCTTCTCTTGCACTCCAACCATAAGGTGAACACCATTTAATTCAATTTCAACTTCGTAGGCTTCAACTGGAAGCTAACCTTGGGAAATCTAGTTGTCTCAGGAGCAACGGCAGGCTCCTCAGCGTTGGTTTGCTGCTTCAAATGCGTCTTCTCAGCTGCAACAGGAGCAGCAGCGTGGTTGCTGACATTTGCGCTTGCCATCACAAAAACTCCTTGAAATTTCAACAAAACCCAACACGATAGCTAACTGAAATCTGATTGCTTATCCGACCCAATACAGAGCAAATGCGAATTGCAAGCTCGGTTGTTGGGTTCGAGCACGATGAGTCGATTGAAGTAGCTGGGTGAAGATCTGAGCAATGCCGAGCACGGCGCCGAGTTAGGCCTTCAAGCCCGATTCGAGTGTATTTTTAAATCGGATGACACGCGTCGAGGTAGGGTGGCGTCCAGATGGCATCTCCAGAAGAGTTCCGAGGAGAACGGAGCCTAAAGCCCACGGTTTTGCAACGTGGGCAGTGTGAAAGACAACAAGCAATTTTTATTCCGAATCCTAATTAGTAATACTATTTTAATAACATCAAATAGAAGTGGTAGATTTTTTATATTTGACGGAAGATGACAGTATGTATGATATAAAGAAACTATCGTGTACATGCATGAAATTCATTTCTTAAAAGATTTTTATACTTAAAAACTCATATTGAAAATTTCAGTATAAGAGTCTTATGAAGGTCTTTCGTTGGTGAAGAGAAGAAGTTTTTTCTTTTTCTTTTTTTTCTTATTCTTTTTTTATTTTTGTTGGAAGGCAATGTTTTTTGGAGATATTATAAAATGAGAAGAAGCCACAATGTGAACAAAATCACTATTTTTATTCTAATTTCATACACAAACAAAAAAAAATCGTGCTTTGATGTTGAGAGATTTGACAAATGTGAAAAATTATTATTTTAAGAGTATTTGTAGTAATATTATTAGCAAATCTTAACACTGCTTTTATTATTTTTTATAAAACACGTTCTTTGAGGTTGGAAAAAGATCATACTATTCAATATGTCAATAATAATAATGATAATAAAATGTTTGCTCTTGTGTAACTGATTAAATTCCAAGAATAATATTTGTATTATATCAGAATTAAATAATTTATTAAATTAACAATGAAATCTCTATTACATGCCAATTTGTAAATATATATATATATATATATAGATATGTAAAGAGAGAGAGAGAGAGAGAGAGAGAGAGAGAGTATATATATATATATATATATATATATTGACTTGTGGATCAAAAGAATGTATGTTTAAAGTGGTATATATATTTATTATTATTTATTGTGATATTTGGTTTAAAATATTTTCAAAAGAATATTAACTAAGTGAAATTGTATGTAGTTTTAAACAAAATTCTAATAACTAAAAAACTGATTTAAAAAAGAAGTTACATTTTATTTATTTTTTACTTTTTTACTTTTAATATTTGAAATCAGGCAAAATCATCACAAATACAAACTGATTTGTTATTAGAATTTATAATTAAAACATATTTAAACATATTACTTAAACTTCAATACTTATTACTATTTAGCCACTCAATATATATATATATATATATATACATATAAGCTTTAAGTCTTCATAGCACATAGCAATACAATAACATGATAGTGCACAACATTCAAACAATTATTCATGAATAGTAATAAATAGGTGTGTTGTTGTAATATACAATGACTTGGTAGGCCACTACAATCATAATATATGTTGATTACTGCTCAATATATTAAAAAATAAAATAAATAAATTAATTAATTAATTAAAGTTTTTGTGTTTTTAGTATGCAAATATTTAAAAAATAAAATAGAATTTGAAATAAAATACTTTTGGAAAAAAATTGCAATCTCTTTTTTTATAAAATATTCATTGTCTCCCTCTTAACCACCACCCTTTCTTAAAGCAAAAACAATAAAAAATGCAGAAAAGATAGAGACATATTATTAGCTAGTTGTCTAGTAGGAGATCACATGGAGTAGCAATACCAATTAAGATGTAGCCTTAACCATTCATTCTCTCTCTCTCTGTATATATATATATATATTCTTTAGAGGAATGCAGTGATTCAAGTATTAATACGATAACATCATATGCTCCCCAGATCAAGAGAAGGGGCCATGGGTTGTGAAGCGGAAGTGATGGTCGCTGCCAAAAGGGCTACCTTTGTTGCCCCTCGCCACCGAACACTCTCCAACGCAGCCGGTGAGGAGGAGCATTCACTAACAATAGAGCCAAGCGTGACGAGATCTCACTACCGTGACCAGATCATACAACAAACATGGATCCAAATTGCAGAGGTGACGAAGACGAAGACGAGGATGGCGATGGAGGAGGTGGAGGAAGAAGAAGAGGCAGCCTACCATTCTCTAACCTCCATTCAGCACAATCGGGCTTCGTTCCGCACCTCAGCAACAACAACGGTTATTACGCCGACCGGCATTGATGATCGATCAGGGTTGTTAGTTGGGCCTTGAATGCCTCTGGGTACTGCAAGCCCATCTCAGTCCCTTTCACATCTTTGAGTGACTGGATCGTACATCCTTTTTTCAGTGCGGCGTCACTGACGTGGCAACTTTCATGCGGATTTGAAGATGCCGCCGCGGGCCTTGGGTGAGAGACAGTAGGCGATATGGGTGAAGAACAGTCTCGAGTGTGGTGTTCTCTGGACGAAGTGAGATTCGCGACTAGAATGCTGAGGCTTGGAAGAGATGTTCACCGAGCTGGACGAGTAGCTAGGCATTAGTGACTATGGAAGGTTTCCGGCAAGTGCACTGCACCTCAAGCATTCTGGCTCACCTTGATCACCCCCATTGACGGCAACTTCGGATTCGATCCGAGAGTATCTGAAGCTGGAAGCATCTGAAGCTCGAAATGACTCCATAGGCCCACGACTCGCAGACACTTTTAAAGGATTGTGAAAAAGACTTTCTTCGCGGTCTCATGCATTGATAGCGAAATGACCCCAGGTCGTCGACTCAATGGTCCACCTTTATTAAAAATTAGAACCAAGCCTCACATTCCGGTCATGGGATGAGTTTCTCTCGCGTGCTTCATGTCTGCGATCATGTGCTGTGTATACATATGGTACAGTGCAATGTGATGGTGCTCCGGCAGGTTGCAGCCCGTCGAGGCCGCGAATGCGTGGGTGGTGAATGCTACAGTAGATGGAATCTATCAACATGTAATACGTGCACTCTCTACTAGTCGCTCCTTGCACAAAATTCACTACCTTGAACACCCAACTGAGAAAGTGTAGAAATGGTGTCCACATTTTTATGTCAGTATGGTCGCTGTCCAACCCAGTTTCCGGGGGGATAGTAATTACAAGTCATGAAGATGTTGCCGTCATTGCATACGGACCGCGCGCACCCTACTTTGGTAGTCCCTCGCCACACAATCTGCGTGTAGTGACCGCACTTGTTGTAGTACACGCAGGAGTTGCTGTAGTAGCGGTACCATTGCTTCTCGGCAACCCACGCATTCGCGGCCTCCACGGGCTGCCATGCCTTCCCCGATCCCCAGAATATGTTCTCTCCGTAAGGTCCTCCGGAATGCTGGAGCCGGCAGTCGCCGTAGAGTCTCCTCTGGTTCGCCCATCCTTGGGCGTAATTCGCCAGGTTTTGATCCCATTGGAGGGGGCTAAGACCGAGCTGAGCTCGCGCTTCATTCTGAGGGCGCAAGAATCCGTTCACGTCTGTCGGGTAGAATTGTGCATCAGCTACACTGCTAATGGCCGCCGAAAGCACCACCGCCAGAAACAGATTCAACTTCTGGCTATAAGCTACCGCCATTGAAGCGAGAGATCCACCTCAGAAATCCAAATCCCTCCGACCACGCTGACTGACGGCTTTGAGGTACTCGCAATGCAGCAGCGCCGCGCCTGACAATCCCTGAGCGCACTCCTCTATTCCACAACCCCGGTTACAGCTCCAGCTCCAGTAGCAGCGAGCGAACTCTGAGAACTGTCAAATATAGAAGTGTTTATTATCGAGTTCTGGGGAATGGCTCGAGCAGTATGATGCCAGCCTTGTATCATGAGCAAGGCGAAATGGTCGCGTCCACCAACCATTCTGAACATTATCTCAACTGACAGATTCGGCGTCATTGCAGAGATCAAACAAGCAAAAAAACATAGGACCTAACGATGACAACTCTCCCTCTCTCGAACAACCATTTCTGGACTGTGGTACGTACCTCTGACTGAATTCAATGCGACGATCTGGGCACAGCTTCTGAAGAGCGGCTTAGCGAAATGTACAGTGGTTGGGGAGATGACACACTCGTTTAGATTAATCAACCATACGTCAATTGGACTGAAAACACGAACAACTTGTGCAATTTTTTATGCTCACCTTTTTTTTCTTGCTTTCTTTCTTTCTTTCGTTCTTTCTTTCTTTCTCACAATCGCTAATACAGACAAGGAATTCGCTGCTACTTCCTAGAGGTAAGGGTCCTTTAAGGAGGAATGCCTATTAGTGAAGATGCTACCGACCATGGAAGAATCATTTGACATGCCAGCCATGTGCCCCAATTTATGAAAGCGCCTGACTGCCTAACTCCGAAGTTATGACAACGTCCTCCGTCTCTGGCAGGCTTTGAAGGCTCACGTTGAGCCCCGTCGATTGTTGGATGCTTCCGCAGCATTATTTTTGCAGCTTGTCAATCTCCTTGCCGCAAATTCCATGCTTTTCTGCAGGGTGCCACTTGCTTGCCCTCACCAATAACAAACCAGCCACACCTGTGAGGTTTCAATTATATGTGTAATATGTTTCAGCGAATGCATGTATAACCCATCTGGACACCGATCTTCCGAACTGCAAACATGCTTCACAAATCTGAACATCCGGAGACAATCTCACGCCGATAACTTTCCCATCACCGCCATTGAAATGCACCTTTTGTTACGTTGTTGTAAAAGTGTCCGATGATTTGCCTCGAAACTCTGACAGTTCCCTAACTTTATGAAGCTGAAGTTGTGTGATATTTTAATACTTCTTGCCTGTACACTGTATTACAGTTGAAAAGTCTTGTTGAGTACTGTCTGAGAAATGAACAGAAAGTTGTGAGAGCTTATCAGGATGTAGCTTTTGCGGATGTCGGTATGTGAATTATCTCTTTCTAAAATACTACTAGGCACAATCGAACTGGGTTTTTATTTTTTATTTTACTTATTATGCAGTATTTTGCAATATTAACAACAATAGAGTGTCCATAAACAACAGATTTGTTAATTAGAATACTAAGTTTTAAGGTTGGCACTGTCACTAATCTCATCAGCATGTCATTTGTGATCATGTAATTTCATGTATTTTCATCTATGAATTCAAATAAAATTCATTCTAGCGCCTTATTTATATGTTTCTTTTACTTGTACATATTAGGTTTTTTCTTGCTTTAATATCTTTCTGGACACATTTCTCATAACATCTAATACTTCAAGTAATAGTTCAGGTAGTATTACATTACAAAACTATTACCATATAATATTTTAATAACATTTTTATATGTATTTTAAAGTCATAATGGTTTTTTTAGAATTGTATGATTTAAAAATCTAAATTAAATTATAATGTGCATTTCATACCATATTTTCTTATCAAGAATTTACATAATGAAAGAAATAATTTTAGCTACATTTATTGAATTCATAAATTTCAGTTGATAGACAGTGTAAATTAATTATGTACAATTATTTTATAACTTTAATTTTTTATAGATTTTAATCTGATTACACGTACAATATTTAGAATGCTTTGTTAAAAGAAATAATTTTTAAAATTTTATATTCTATTTTTTCATGTATTCAAGAATTATACAATATCACTTTATATGAAGATTTGAATTTCAACAAAAGTTATTGTTACTTTTACCTATGGCTTATAAATCATTAGGATATCTTATTACTATATATTAACACACACATATGATTTTGAGATTTTATTTATTTATTTATTTTTAATCTGTTGTATTTGGTAATACAACAAAACTATTAGCAAACAACTATTTCAAAAATCTATATGAATAATATTAGGATTAATATATAGATTTGATTTTATTAATTGAAAATATATTTTTGTATTTAATTATAATAATTAATAGTGATTATGGAACTATTATAATTTTACATGCTATATATATATATATATATATATATATACATATATATACACATAAAATATATCTATAAAAACACAGATTTTCTAATAACATTGAAGCATAGAATCTTTTTTCTAACTTAAAAATTGCAATATATCGACAATGTACAAAACTATGGCATATATGTACTGATTTATAATGTTTTGAAATTTAAATGTTTGAAAGAAAAGAATTTTTTTTATTACATTACAGTAAATTTGTGTTTTTAATTCTTTACTAATTTGATAAAAATGTAAACTTGAATTATTTTCTTGTATGTGCAAGTTCTATTTTAATGGTTATTAAATCCAATGTAGATTTGGAAGATCTCTCTACAAACACACACACACACACACATATATATATATATATATATATATATACATATTCCAAAAAGAAAGTTAAATAAATTCATGTACAATGTAAGATTTCTTTAAATCAAAATAAAAATGTTAAATAAAAAGTAATCAACAAAAATTAAGTTAATATGAATTTAAATAATTTTTATTTTTTCTGTGATAATTTTTTTATTTTCTCAAGTATTTTATTTCTATTACTTTCAAATTTTTATCTAAAAAATTGATTTTATATTATGGTCTTAAAATTTTTTTTTGTAATATTAGTGATGTCCATATAATCATTGTAGTATTATACATATACTAGTGGAAACTTGTGCCATTGGGCACTATAATCTTTGGCACATCCATCCATTCTCTTGTTCATCTTTGATTCCATAGTTTCATTGTTTCAATGTTCTCCAAGTTCCCCTCATTCCCTTCTTCACAACCAATCAAAAGACTTCTTTGTCTTTTTGTGTTACACTCAAACTGTCTTATAGAATATATAATAGATAGATTAATATTTAAGAACCATTGAATTGGAATATAAATATTGGAACATATTTTGATTTTAACTAGAAGGTGCAACTTGTTTAAATTTCTAAAATCTTATTTACCAAATAATAATAAAACAAAAAAACAAAAAAACAAAATAAATCTTTTGGCATAGGAAGCTTCTCAATTAAGATTTTTTTTAAAATCTAATCTTTCTCAATATTTTATTATTGAAATATATTTAAATTTACATAATTCTAGTTTATTCTGTTTATAAATAAATAAAATTATTTAATTAATCTTAGTTCCTCACACTCTTTGGGAGATTTTTTTTGTTTTTTTGTTTTAGTTTTAATTTTAATTCAAGCAGAATTAAATTTCTTGTACTCAAACTGTCTTATAGAATATATGATAGATAGAAATATAATTTAATTTTAATTATAATTCAAGCAGAATTAAATTTCTTCAAATATTTTTCACAAATGTAAGTGTGAAATTGTTCACATACTTTTAATTTGGTCATTGGTAGGGACAAAATCATGTTATTTCAATTGCCGACAACATCACACTTCACACTTTTAAACGCACTTTACAAAAGTAATTATTTTTATCGGTTGAAACTAACCATCATAGATCTGTCTTTTAAAGTGTTTATGATAATCCTCAAGAACAAAATCTTCTTGCTTTAACTGAAATCAACCAGACTTCCAGTGATGTAAACAATCCATCCAAAGTTGTTGACTTCAAACCAATCATCTATTTCCCTGACAACTTTACAATTAGTCGTTATATATAATGATCATCAAACAATTATTTCATTATTTACTTTTGGACTCTTCCTCCATCTTGAAGCCAGTAATTCATAGAATACATCCACACAGACAGACACAAATATATATATATATATATATATATATGCCGAACTTGTCAGAGGATTAAATAGGAGAAGCACTAGCATGGGCCGTCTAGGTCTTTAGGTACCAGACATCGCACATCTCTGCCCGACATCACCAACCGCACTGGATGCATAGGAAACGATTACTTGTGCCGAACCAAAGAAAAGCAATGTTTTCAGATAAAAGGAGCAAGATAAAAACAGGACAAAGTGCAAGATTTCGTTGAAGGGGCTGAGGAGAACATGACACATCTCATCCTGCGTTAAATTGCAATTGACCCACACGTGGGTATACAGGTGCGTGGAGCATGTACAAGTGAAATTAGACGCATTGTGTTGAGGCTGATCCAGAAATTGGTCACAATGCTTTCCGTGATTGCAACCGAATTTACTATGTAATGAAGCTCAAATGCTGCCTACACATATACCACAGCCGCTTTCAGATTAGAGCTTATTCTTTCAAAGACGTGGATTAGGATTGTCGATACAAGCAGCCATGCGCTTAGTTTTGGACACTACATGTCGGTTTCCAGGCTGACCACAATCAACATTTGAAAGGACCTTGCAATCAGCTACAACGTGAAGGATAAATTTCAATTGCTAACAAGGCGTTAAGTTTACAGGGATAACAGTAATATAAACAAAAATCCAGCAATTGAACCTCAACGTTCACATTGCGGGACACTTCCTATGAGTCTACTAAGCAGAGAATAACCACCTGATGAGTAATCAAGGTGAAGGAACAATCTATCTCCAGTCACAAATCAAGATGAAGCATTGCAGAATAATAACGGTACACTTCATAGGTATTTGCTCACTGGTCAACGTTCTGATGAGATAAGTTTCAAATCTAAACCCTAACCCTAACTGAGAAAAAATTGCAACGGTAGTCGCATTATGCTGCTAAAGAATTCTGAGCTCGCTATTGATTACAGAAATGAGTAATCCCTGTGATTCTGTTGTGGCATGTGCAAGTCCTTTAAGTGAAGAGTTATTTGACAAGTCCCAATTTCCTCACGCGTGAAACAAAAGCTACCAGGGCTCAAATCATCCTAGACACTGCAAAACTTGAGAGGTGGAGTTAACCCTGAAACCCGACACCATCTAAAACAAGGACCATGGAAGAGCTGCAGTTAAATTGAATACTTGAGTGGAGAAACCTTAATATATATTGAGGACATCGATGATGGCTTTGTTGCAGAGAGGACAGGACCCTTTACTTCTGCGCACTTCCCGGCAACATCTTCGACAAAAGGTATGTCCACATGGAATAAATGCTGCACCTTTGTGGCCAACCATACACACGCAGCACAAGGGATCCAGCTGCTCCGTTACATGATCATCTTGTTCATCGACTCCCTTCTCCGCTTCAAGCTCATTCTCGACATTTTCCATGTCCTGGTTCAACAAAGATAACAATGACACACGCCTTGGGGGCTGTTCTGTTGCTGGTGTCAAGATCTCAGCTTCTCTCGCAGCATCTACAAGAGGAGTCTCTGTCCCTGCTGCGGGATCTGATGATTGTTGAATTTCAGGTCGTTCAACTATGTCTGAGCTGGGTAAAAGTTCTTCTCTCAAAACTTCACGATTGGAAGGATCATCCACAACAGCATGTGAGGGACGTGATGCCACTCCCCTAAGAGAAACCTGGCAATTATCATCAGGGGGTCCAGATGACATCCCAAGCACACTAATTCTTGAGCTACTACAACTTAACGACGGGCTTTCAACCAGAGAAGGAGAGCCCATTCGGCTTCGGCCTAATGGCAACCAGCCATGCTCACCCCTTGCCTGCTCTAAAAGAGTCTCCAATTGAACTCGTGGTGCTTCAGCCTCCTCTCCATCGGCATTACTCTGTGCAAGATCATCCACGTTGTTGAATACGGATTCCTCTATAAGACCCGCATCCGACACCGCGTTGAGAGCATTTACAATGGTCAAGAGAGGTTCGACCCGTGAGGAATGCTGAACTTCCAGAAAAACTCCAGGAGTTGGAGGATTCGGGAGAAAATTCGGCACATTCGCTGTTGATTGAGTTGACGAATTCACATCGGCATCCGTAGATTCGTCTAGAGAAAAAGTAGGGCTCAAGAGGGTTTCAACTTCTTCATCCAGGTTTGTACCGGATTGCGACCTCTCGGAAGTGCAACACAGGCCATCCTCTCTTGCCGAAGTATTGACAATCGTGTCAAGTTCATGCCTGACCGGTCTTTGAATCTCGTGCATTTCAGACACGCCATCCTCCACCACGGGATTAGTGCCTGAAGTAAGAAACTCCGCAATCAGATATTTCAATCGAGTGTGGGACTCAGGGTGCACTGGAGCAGAGACATCACACAAGGACCCGATTTTGACGCGTCTGCTACTCTCACCGCTGCGTACAGCGGCATCCCGTTCGAAAGAGAAACCTTCGAACCCAATATTTCCTTCCCGTCGGTCCGCGCTCCTCTGATCTCGACCTATTGCTACTTCCGCAGCAAGCAACGTCCCCAGAGAGGGTTTCGCTCCACCACATCCAACCCTCAGCTCTTCAGTCAATCTTGAGAACAGACATCCAGGGCTCAGTTCACTGGGCTGCTGCATTACGCCGGATCGACTTGCTAAATACGAAGTTTTCAACGATGATGGAGAGTTGATTCTGCTTGATTCCATCTTCGTCGACTGTCTGGGTGAATGATTTGAAGAACTGGGAGGTTTTTTGTCGCTCTTCAAGGGTCTCGTACGCCTTCTTGGCGTCATCACAGCTCCGCACAATGACCCTGAAGCCCAAAAGTCGTCTTCATCGTCAGAATTCTGCATTGACCAGTCCTTCGCGAACAAAAATCGCAGCTCCTGGGACTCGTTTTTCACTGACTTCGCGTCTTCTCTGTTGGTATCACTGGCGAGGTTTTCAAGGTTCCCTGCAGTGGGACCCCATAATGGTCCGGCATGAACAGCCAAGCCATTCGCCATCTCCTTTCTTGGAACGCAAGAGCTTGCCATCTCTGCGGCAAACAAATCCCTGAGAGGTTGCACATTCCTCACGACTTTGTTGGCAGGCACTGATTCTTCTCGTTCTGAAAAGGCCATTCTGCGTATCTCTATCACATTCTCCTGCGCACACAAATCCGGTTAATTTGATTGATAGTGCGCTATTAAAAACCTTACTATTCCTTAGTCCTCTAATGCCGTGCTGTACTTTATTTTAAGCATCCCTTTCTCCGAAGTGATACCATCCGATTTTTACTCTTCCATGCGATGGGCTCCATTTCAAGAGCCAAGAATCAAGTGGAGACATTGCGATTATTCACAAGACTTTAACTCTCTCCATGTCACAACGAAGAGAAGAAATGCAGCAAGCTCAAGGTTCTCGATGGAAGTAGTCACCATAATGCCACTGTGGCATCAGGCGAAGAATCGTTAACACCCTCCCTCGAACTCTAATTGCCATTGCACATCATGGAAGGACGAAAGAAAGATACAGGTCGCAATCAACCCAAAACAACCCAAGTTCTTTAAGTGCGACCGGTGTGTTATACAGTGCTACTTCAATTCTTCCACAACGATTCCTGGGCAGAAATTGACCCCAAATACCACGAAGACGAACAACCCAGATCCCCACAAGACACAAACTTACCAGACACAAACTTACCAGCATCCGATAGAGTGCAGCGCTTGAGCATCGCCACAGGCGAAAAAAAAACCCCAATTCCCACCGTCTGCTACCTCCTGCTCCCCATTTCTTCCACGTCACTACTGCTCCTCTGACCTCTGCAAAAAAAAAAAGAAAAAAAAAGGCTGAAATTCTGATGCTACTCAACTTACACGCAACCGAATGCAGGCACTTCAAAACATTAAAAAATAAAATAAAAATAAAAATAAAAAATATCCCAACAACCGATCGTGAAAGGAAATACCTCATTCCGTGAATGTCTAATCCTGCAGCAAACAAGACCATGGCCACAGCACAAAGATCCACCTCCACGCCACCGCTGCTGCATCTTAGTAACGTCATGAGCGCTGTGGTCTGTCGCCGTGGCGAGCACGAACGCAAGGGGAGAAACGCAGATGCTGATAGAAATAGCGAACACAAAGGGCACCACTCCAGAAATCCCAGGAGGGGTGGGAAAAGAGTGAGGGAGGGGGGCCAGCAGCAATTCCAAGGGCAGGAGGAGGAGTGGTCGTAACGCCGCAGCAGCTGCAGTAGTAGTAGCAAGCTAGCCATCCAGCGAGCCAGCCTCGACGCATGTGGTGATCGGGTCGTGACGCCCATTCCTGCGTCATGAATGCACAAGCGGCATCGTTTGGGGGTGTGTAAAATTCTGGGTCCGACACTGCCGACACCCTCGCTGTCTCATCATGGCCCCGGTCCCGTTGCAGAAGAGCCCTCAAGCTGGATGGATGAAACTACGTGTGGATGTATGAATTATGGATGAAAATCATATGTAAATTTTAGATGTGATTTAGATGAATGCGTCGTGGATGGGAAATCCGTTCTCAGGGACGGAAAATCGGGAACCGGGAATTTGTTTTTGAACCACTGTCAACCGTAGCTTTTTTCGAGGGGTATACTTTTTGCGCCGTATGTGCTGTTGGCCACGATATAAAAAACAAGCACTTTGTGTAGATTTTCTCACCACCAAATGTGCTAGAGCGATTTTTTTAAAAAAAATAATAATATACAATTTATTTTATATATATTTTTTAGTAATGAGGTGACTCTAGGTGAGTGAGCTTTAAATGGATGTTGATAAAGTTTTTTTTCATTCCAAAATATTACTAAAAAATTATGCTTTTTTCATAACTTACTATATATATATATTTATACATAAATTCTATTTTCTTTTAAAATTTTAAATAAAAATTTGTCACAATATATGCAACATCATATTTATAATATTCTTTTAAAATATTTTAATTCTTTTTATATTTATAGAATTCTCTATAGATTCATTTATAGTTTTTAAATGAGATTTTTAAAAATATATATAAATAAAATATTACAAAATATATCCTACTTATTATTATATTCATTATTATGAAAATATAAGGTCTTTAGGTTTTCTTTGTTAACTTTGTAAGACTTTGTTGCTTATATCATAGTACTTTCACAAAATGAGGTATACAATGTATGTAATAAATAAATAAATAAATAAGTTAGTACAATGTTGTTGTCTTTAAAATATCAATCTTTTTGATTGCATTTAAATCTGCTTTTAGATATTATTTAATTCCAATTTACAAAAACGTCTAGTTTTAAATACACAAATCAAGAAATAATTTATAAACTTCAAGACATAGTAGTAGTGATATATATATATATATATATATATATACATATATATCATTACTACATATAATAGTAATAATAGTAATACATATATACCTATATATATATATATATATATATATATATATTACTATAGTACAAACAAAGTTATAAATTTTTATGCTTTTAAAATAATTTAGATCAAATTATGAAGTTAAAAAGTTAATACTTTAATAATATTGTCACTAACATTCAACAAGAGGATTCTCAAATTTTTCAGAATATTCCTAGAATGTTTTAATAGAATATTCTTAAAATATTCTTAAAGGTTCTCAAAATATTTCAATAAATTTTAAAAAGTTCTAAAAAGATTAAGGAAATTATCAAAGAAGCTTCTTAGGATTGCTTTGTCTTCAAGTAATATGGGAACTTTTTGAGAAGCTTCTTGATATATATTAGAGTCAATGCTAAGGGAATCCTTAGTCTCAATAATACATCTTTTGGAGTTTTAGCTCACATTTCTTAGTGTTAATCTTATACTCATTTGATTTAATCAAATTCTTGCTTTTTTTTTTTTGTTGAAACTCTATTGTTCAACTTCTTGTTTAGTCTCATGTATAGTGTATCTATGAAAAAAACAAGCTTTAGCTTTATTATAGGATTTTAATTGGTTAATAAAACTCTAGAAGATAATTGATTACATTACAAAAAAATTATTTATCACATATCAAATTGGTAACTTATAGTTCCTATTTCAATGGAATTTTGCCTAAATTGCTAATGAAAATTTTTTTAAAAAATATTTTTAACAAGGCTTGTTATCTAAATCTTCACATAAATTAATTAAAATTGTATTATACTTTAAATATCTAGAAAACAAAAAATCAATAAAATATTCAACACTACAATTTAATATTTAAAAGGTTCAATTTATTTGAAAAGAATGTAAGAGGCGTCAAAAGACTCTAGATGTCTATAGGTGTGAAAATACATTTTTTTTGTTTAAAAATTAAATTAAATTAAAATAAAATAAACAAAACAAAACAAATAACTACTACAATTTTATATTACTAATGTTAATTTTTTAGATATATATATATATATATATATATATTGAAATCGGCAAATGAATCAAATCCTTAATAATTTGAAATGCCAGAGTCTTCATCGCTATTATCGTATCTCTTTTGGACATGTATCGATCACAGTTTTTTTTTGTTTTCTTTAATCTCTATATTTTATTATCATCATTTTGTAAAAGCTACCTTGATACACTATTCTGTAGTTATATTTCTTCCTCTCAAAGAAAATTCCCGTCTTTAAGTACATTTGAACCATTCATTAAAAGACTTCTAATAAAATAATCAAATCAATACGGTCTCCAGCATCAAAATCAAATTCACTCAATCGTGAATGAACCCCACTGAGTTGCCACGTCGGCGCGCTAGCCACGCCACGCTGGCGTCGCGGCGCGGGTCGCGTCTGTAGTAGCGGCGACGCGAACCCAGTGAGAGGAGCGCAGCTCGGCCACCTCGCGTTGCAGCTCCATCGGCTGCTGCTGCGGGAATCTGATGACCCAAGTGCGTACACACTCCGCCTACTTACCGACGTTTGTTCGCCTCTTTGTTCCAGCTGCCTTCATCTTCATCCCATCGTTGTATCGATGCATGCGACCAGTGGTGAGAAAGAGCTCGTGCATGGCACGTACACCAAATTCACTGGGGTGGCGAAGTCAATGCTAGTGCTTTACAGCTTCGATTCCTAGGTGTTGTGGAGGTCCTTTGCACGATGTCGTTAAGCCAGAAATGATCGTGGGAATCGTTCACTAGCTCACGGAAGATTATAACGCCCCGCTTCACATCCACGTAGGGGAATGAGCAACTTTCGCACAAAGGATGACGTCAGGTCTCTATCTGAAAATGGATTTAAGGTCGTCACTGTGCTGATTTCTACATCACTGTCGATGCTGTCATTGGTATTGAACACCCCGTCAACTCTGTCGGTCCTCTCCTTTGGAAATTCCAGTAGCTGCGAACCAGGCGTGGCTTGTCCGACTTGCTGGATGCAATTCATTGTCACCTGCCGTCGGAGATCTCTTGGAACGATCAACGGGGGCGAGACCAGGAGCTTACATTGTGGACTTCGGTTTCAGAAGTGAGGATTGCAAGTCAGAGACCAGACTGAAATGAAGTTATGTGTTTTATTTGACTGTTCAGTTTATAGACGAATTTGTGCATTGTGATTTTGTCTCTTTGCTGCACTGGCCAAGAAGCATTGAAACCCTTGCGCATGCAGGTGATAAAGAAACATGGCAGCCCGAGTTGCTTTCGCAGTGTTGGTAGTCACGGCCATCGTGTTCGCAGCCCAGGCCTGCGAACCCGAGACCCTTGGCGATTACTTTATCCCACCCGGTGTTGACAGGAATAATATCGGAAGTGACTACTTCACTTCTACGCTGTTACGTGGTGAGCCAGTGATCGCCGCAGGTGCCAAGTTCAGTGCCAAAAGACTTGGCTCGAATGAATTCCCGGTTCTCACTAACCTTGCTGTGTCATCTGCACTCCTCAAGTACTTGCCCGAGGGCATCAACCCTTTCCACATCCACCCTCGGGGCACCGAGCTGTTGATCGTGTTAAAGGGAACTCTGAACGTGGGCCTCATCGACACCGCCAACAAGCTCTTCACCGCCGTGTTGCAGGAGGGCGATGTGTTCGTTTTCCCCAAGGGATTAGTACACTACCAGATCAACTTAAGCCGCCTGCCCGTGATTGCATACGCTGCCTTCAGCAGCTCCAACCCCGGAACCGTGTCTCTGCCCGTGACCTTGTTCGGCACCGGCATTCCCAAAGTCGTCCATGAGACTGCATTCAAGGTTCACAAGCTTGTCATTGACAAGCTTGAGGCACCATTCCGTAACTAGGGTGATTTTGGAAATGGGGGATACGCACGGGTAGTGATTCAATGATCTGCTAGAATCATTCCAGCACTGGAATGGTCTTCAAGCATGTGACGATGTATTGTGATCCAAAGATTTGAATACCTTCAACCCGAAATCTCACCGTTACCTCTATTTGATTTGCTGTGGCTAGTTTTATGGTGAAAAATCTTCTCACGCACCACGCTTTCCTGTTATAGATTACCTATCCATTGCGTACCCGTTTCTGTAAAATCTATATCCGAAGTCAAGATGCTTTTGATAGTGCAGTTTCGTCCATGAATCTCGAGGAAGCTCCAAACGCAATTCTAATGGGTATCCTCTCCACGAAGTAAGTCATACTCTCAAACATGATTGAGGCTACCACCGACGATTACCAGCACCTAACGCAACTTGTATAGGCGGTACTACTCGGAGGTAAACTACAAATTCGGAGGGAGCAGGATGCAAGGCGATTTCTTGTGGTCTTTTTATCATAAGAGGGCCCAGGTCAGCCTTTGTTTCTGAAAACTAATTTGCAGAAAATCAATACTACAGAAATGCAACTGTAATCTGGAGAGAAGGGGTTATTGTAGTGTTTCTGGCATGTTTATATTCAGTAATCCATACGCTAAACTCACAGCAATGAGAAACCCACGCCCCCTCGAAACCTCGCATTTTCGATCTCCTCCTTTCAACACAGTATCTGTTCCCACGTTCTGAAGTCACACCTGCACAACAATGTCACGAATACATCGACAACCCCAATCCAACCGCTCGAAAGGGGAACTCTCCCCATCCAAACCAGGTGTGCGTCACTATGCGCTCCACAAAGGCCCCGAGGCACCCACACAGGACAGAGGAAAAAACACGTCAAGTTACGTTGATTTTTCCGCTCCGAAGTGCGAAACATGAAACATGCTCACACTTTACTCACATCACAAAAGTTTACACAAGAGTGGGATGGTATGACGTGCATGCAGTGGATGAACTGCTGCTACTGCTTCAAGGGTCCAACTCGTTGTGGCTTTTGTCCCGCATCACGTCGCTGCAGCAGCTCCTCACCACCACGTCGCGGCACAGCGTTCACGACGCGACGATAAATTTGTGCATTTATCAAAGCATATGCAAAATAAACAAGTGTGAATAAAATAATGTTGGTTTTGAATTATTACAAGTCTTATGATGAGTGTAAGTTTCTTGAAGCTCAAATTAAAAATTTACCAAACAAAAACCTTGAGCTTGCTTTAGAAGCACATGGATTTGTTGGATTTATAAGAAAATGTTGAAAGTTAACTTTTTCTTGTGAATTAGATATGTGGAATCAATATTCATAAATATTATCTGAGTGAAAAGTTAAGATATATATATATATATATATATATATATAAGGAGGTTTGGTTGCAAAATGGTAATGCATTTGTGTTGCCATGATTATGAAGAAAATAGTTTTTTTAAATTAATTATTTAAGAAAGAAAAGGTATTCTCTTAAAGTGTGAACTGCCAATACACTTACATACTGTGAATTCTAAATCAAAGTTTTTGAAAAAAATTAACAAGACGAAGAATGAAGGTAGAATAAAATTTCTAAAAAATTCAAAATAGGCATGTATGAAATCAACAAAGTAAACAAAAGAATAATACACAAATAAATAAATATATAATATCATTCTTTATTTGAATTATAATTAACAAAAATATTTTTTTTTATCATGTTTGAAAGCTATCAGTATGCAAATAATGGCAAGGAAGTGCAATATTGACAAAATAAACCAAATAATATATTCTTGTGATTTTTGAATTTGTACTTTTAGTAATTATTTTTGTACAATATGTGATACATACATCTCATAACTCCACAAACATTAACTCTTCACAAATCATAAATGTTCCCTCATAAGCAAAAATTATTTGATCCTTTCCACACTTACAAGTTTAATAGTTCAAAGAGAGGGTATTAGAGACAAGCAAGAGAATTCACTTCAGATGTTTGATTAGGGGTCTTTAAGGAATTAGAGAGTTCAAGCTCTCGGCTACTAGTGGCAAAACCACGTCTTTGTGCAAATGCTTTAATGCATTCATAATCATTGCAGTTTCAAAATGACTTGTTAAGTATAGTGGTTATAGAATACTCAATGTTATTTTCTATTTTGTTTCTAGCTTATGACACCAATTCAGTGAAAATACCTAAGATCTTGCATTTCAGAATAAAGTTCCTATTTGAGTGTTGTTAATATTTGGTCATCCAAAGTTAATAAATGAATATCTTCTCAACATTTGGATGAACAAAATAGCTCCAAAACCTTATATGTCACAATTCATATTTTATTCAAATTCATCATATAATAAGACACCTTGTATATATCAAATCTCACTTGTTATATTTATTGCAATATGAAATTATAGCGCACTTAGTATTGGATAAAACAAGTGAGTTGAAAGGCATAGTCTTCAACTAGCAAAGAACTATAGGATTACTTGGACATAATCCTAGTTGAAAGAATAACATTTTTATTTATCTATTTTATTTACAATTATAGATTTGGCAGTTAGAGATGTGTCTAAATCAATGAAGTTGGAAGAACACTCCAACTATATGATATACAGTTACAAGGTCGAGATGATCTTGATATAGGAGGATCTATAAAAATACAAAGAATCAGCAAAAAGGTCTTGAAGTTCAAAAACATCTAGTAGTAGAATTTCTCAAATAACATGCTAAACAACAATTATAGTAGGAGTGGATGCTATTTTACCATAATTTTCTACAAACATACAAGCATAATACATTAGAACTAGATAAATTATAACATTCATGGTCCGTGATTCAATCCTTATTAATGTTCTACATATCACAAAATCCAAAGATATTTGGTTACAATTACAATAGTTATATAATATAAAGAACAACTTATAATAACTATCCTTGAAAGAAAAACTCTTTTTATTACAACTAACAAAAGAAAATTCAATTAAAATTCACTTTCAAGAAATCAACAACTTGGATAACAAATTATCAAGTTTTTTTTTTTTATAGCCCTAATTGATAAAGTCTTAGTTAATCTCACCTTATCAAGTCTTCTAAATTTTTGGTTGATCTTTAAATATATTTAGAAAGGAAAAGAATGACAATCTATTTTTTTCAAATTCAAAAATTTACTATTGCAAGAAGAAACAACTAGGGCTATTAAAAAAGATTACAAAGAAGGAAAAAGAAACTTGTACTTTAGGACTAAAAATTGAAGGACAAACTCTAAAAGACAAAACACCCATTAAAACTAAAGCTTTGGTGAACAAAGTTCTAGAGGACATTTGAACTATCAAGATGGATGAAACCACTTTCAAGTTAACATGTAAAAAATCTAGTGCTACAAATATCATAAACTTTGTCACTATGCTTAAGATTGCAACATAGCTAAAATAGAAGATAAAATCAAATATATGCATATCTAATTGGTTGAATTAAAAGGCAAAAAAATAATACATTAACTCTATCAAAATTCAAGGAGATAAAGAAAGTGGTGAAGATGAAGTTATGAATGCTTGCATAGATGCTTTTGATCCTAAAGAAGATTGGTTCTTGGATTTTGAAGCAAGTTCTTATGTATTAAGCAATAAACATCTATTATCATATATAATAGATGTAAAATTTCCTAATATTAAAACCATTGGCAGAGAAATCTTACCAATAAAAATCAAAGATATTATAACCATCTCAAATTATACTAGAAAAAATAAATAAGTTAAAAACATTCAAATTTTTTTAAGATTTAAAAAACAAAAAAAAATAAAATGACAAGCTTATAAATTTAGGTTATTTAATCTTCTTTGATTCAAAATAATATTACATTTATAAACAAGAAGATCTTAACTAAATCTACTTTGAGATAATAAGAGCCAATAACATATTATACAAGGTTAAAGAAAACTCAACTCACTTATATACCATAGAATCATCAATATATGTTATCTTAACAAAATAATTTGGAACCATCATAAAATATAAGCCTATTTGAATTTTTTCAACATAGTAAAATTATGGCATTGCTAGATCAACTATATTAATTACCAAACTCTTTAATATATAAAAAACAAAGGCCTTATTGTTGGAAATTTAAAACTATCTTTTATTAAATAAATCTGATAATTATGCATAATAAAAAAAAATTATAAAAAAAACCATCTCAAGAAACAAAACATTGCTATCACACAACCTTTATAACTAATCCATTTTGAATTTTATAGACCTATGATTATTCAATCCAAATAAGATAATAAGAAGATCCTTACCTTCATTGATGATTTTACTATAAAAATTTGGCTCTATTACTTGTTTGATAATTTAGAGATTCTTAAAACCTTTAAAAAAAATTAAAGCAATAGTAGAAGAAAATATCAAGAAAACTAAGTACTTGCATGTCAATAGAGGTGGAGAATAGACATCCTACTACAAACTCAAAAGCATCCATTAACAAATGATTGTTTACTATTCATCTCAACAAAATAGACTTGCAAAGCATAAAAATTACACATTCTTTGAAGGCGTTCAAAGCATTATGATATGTAGTAATATGCCTAGGTATTTCTAAGAAGAAGTTGCCGAAAACATTAATTATATTTAAAACTATAGTTCAATAAAGATGCTACAATTTATTTCACCAGAAGAAGCATTTATAGGTATTAAACATAATCTATACACAACAAGCTATATCACAACAAAGAGTAAAGATAAGCTATAGCTAATAAAATATAATCTATTAAATAAATAATACCTAGACTCTTCAATCTTTACTCTCAAGAAAACAACCTATTACATCCAAATGGATCTATAAACTAAAACTAGGGTTTAAAAAATCACCTAATAAAAAAAGATACAATTTTTGCTTGAAACTTTGAACAGAAAAAAGGTATTGGTTTCTCAAAATCTTTTATTCTCGTCATTAAGTAGTCTATAATGCAAACCATAATAACATTAAATATAGCCAATAAATAGAATATACATCATATAGATGTATGAATAAGCATTTTTTCAATAGCTATTTATATATATATATATATATATATATATATGCCAACCTTAAGGTTTTATATCTCTAAGATAAAAACATCTAATTTGAAAATCTCAAAAATTTCTATACATTCTAAAATAATCGCT